ATACTTTAAATGAGTTATATGTCATGTCAAGTATATCTCAATAAAACTTATTTTTTTGAATGAGTAAATGGGAGATGAGTAATTGAAGACAGTGTGTGTATAAAAGGATTTGACTAATGGGGGTAGAGAAAAGGCAATGACTGGGATGGGGAGGTCAAAGGAGGAAGTATTTTTGTTTCTTATTGTTTGAGGATGAGAGACACTAGACCATCTTTGAATACATGTGGAAATGATCTAACAGAGAGAGGTTGAAGATACAGCAAAGTGAAAGCAATTGACTGCGTATATATGATCTCTCAGAAGACAGAGGAAGTAGGATCTAGAACATAGATGGACAGACTGGCCTTGCATAGATGTAAGGACAATTTCTCAAGAGGGAGAGGGTGGTACAGGTCCAAGAAGTTTGATTGATTAGGTCATAGGAGAAGATGAGGAAAAACTGGTCCAGTGGCTGTAGACTTTCTCTCTGAAGAAGGGGAAGAAGGAACAAAAAGTTTGGACAACAGAAAAAGTGTGAAATGAGGCTGCTGGAGAGCAAGCTTACTAGAGAAAACTAGCAGTGCTTCCAGGAAGTATTGAGGGTGGTTGATAATCAAATGATCGGAATGACTTTTCTGTGCTCCCCTGTTGGGTGCAGGCATAGAGAAGGCAAATGATTGGGCTCCTCTGTTGAACAGTGCTCCATGCTCACTTATGGACTCAGTCCTCAACTTAAAGATCTAGCAACATGTAACAAAATTCACACCATCTCTTTTCTCGGGCTTCCAGGACCCACATCTACTAGCTCTCTTCTTTCTTTTGTGGCCACCATTTCTCAGCTTCCTTTGATAGTATATTCTCCTCTACCCAATTCCCTTTAAATGCAGATGGGTATGCTTGGGAAATAGCATGAAAAAGATGGAACATGGTACCTACTTTCCTGATACTTACATTTTATAAGGAAAAACAGAGAACTAATGAGAAAAATTAAATACATCATTTAATTTCAGTTGTGATCAGGGCTACCAAGAAGCCCTGTAAGGCATTGGGAATGTACAGCAGGAGGTCCTGACTTGGTCTGATATTCTTTTTACATGAGATTTACCAACACTTTGCAGAGAGCAGATACCCACCAACTATATGATGAGTAAATGAAAGACTAGGGGCGCCTGGGTGGCTCAGTTGGTTGAGTGTCCAACTTCAGCTCAGGTCATGATCTCACAGTTTGTGAGCTTGAGCCCTGTGTTGAGCTCTGTGCTGACAGCTCAGAGCCTGGAGCCTGCTTCGGATTCTGTGTCTCCCTCTCTCTCTCTCTCTCTCTGTGCTCCTCCCCTGCTTGCACTCTCTCTCTCTCAAAAGTAAATAAATATTTTAAAATAATAATAATAATAAAGACAAAAGAGAGAGAAAATAATAACTTTATAGCTTGGAGTTGCTCTAATAATATGAGAATTAATTTTTTTTAAGAAGTCAAAAATTTTTTAAAGTGGCAAGACACAGTTGACTTGGGACAATGGCAAGGCTGTATCCTTAGGGAAGAAAAAACAGCCATGTTAACAGAGGAAAGGAATGGCTGCATCCCAGTCAAAATCCATGATAAAATCAGCGTTGACATGAATAGACTTCAGTTCATTAGAAGAGAGGTATACTTGGGGGAAGGGGAGAATCACCTATTTATAACATGGTACAAAAATATTTTGTACTCTTTCATCAAATAGTAGGAGATACAAAGATATATAGGACACAGTTGCTTTCCTTAAGGAGCTCATAATTTAGTGACAGAAGAAACAGTATAAAGACAACCATAGATGCAAAGAAAAATAACAATATGATTCCAGCCCTTAGAATTTTTCAAGAATAATTAAATGCACCTGAGACACCAGCCTTCAATCTTGCGATTTTCAGTGGCTTGGGAAGACAGACTATGTACGAAGAAGCAAGAAAAATAAGAATAAGTAAATGTTAATGCTCCAGGCCAAGATGGGAGCCTATGCCAAGTGGGTTCCTGGGAAGCAGTCTCTGAGGCAGAGATGTACAGCAGGTCTCTTGGGGAATGTTCTCAGGATCAATACATGTGGAAAGCAAGGGAAGAAAGTAGCATTGTGCAGGACTGTGATGTAGGCCTGGTGACCCCTAGACTGACTCTATGAGAAGTTCTCAGGCTGGAATTACTCCCAGTTGAGGTGAGAGGACGGACCTAGAGGCCTGCACGGACCAGTCATAGTTTGCAGGCCACTTTTGGAAAAGGAGATATTGGGCAAAGTGACTTCTGCAAAGGCAGTCCTTGAAAAAGGTCTAATTAATACTGGAATGTGTCTGCTGACAGCCACAGAAATAAGGCCTTCGATCCTGAAGGGAAATCAGGACAGCACATCCCAGTGCCCAGGCCCAGGGTAGCACTTTCATCCCATTTGTTACCGTACAACCTTCAAATAAGATCCGTGGAGTGACACACAGTCTACCTAGAGAAGAAGAGAGAAGACTTGTGTCTGACTGCACAGAAGTACAAATTCTTAATATTTTAGTTAAAACCAAATGTCAGGGACACCTGGGTGGCTTAGTCAATTAAGCATCTGACTTTGGTTTCCTCTCAGGTCATGATCTCCTGGTTCATGAGTTCAAGGTTCATGAGTCTGAGCCCTACATTGGGCTTTCTGCTGTCAGCACAGAGCCTGTTTCAGATGCTCTGTCCCCCTCTCTCTCTGCCCCTCCTCCCTCTCAAAAAAAAAATCAACATAAAAAAATTCAATGACAAATGAACTTACTTGTTAGAAGAATATAGGCATCTGTTGCAAACATGTGACTGGAAGTTTCCTTTTGATTAACCATAAGAATTGGCACAGATAATCCAAACCAAGGACAATCTAACAAAACTGGGCTGTGTAATTTGCAGCAGAGACAGGATCACCTGTAAGCCTTCCATCTCAACTGTGCAATGTATGGAACTGATGCAGGTTACTGCAAAAAGCTGTGTCTACACAGCTCAGTCTATGTCCATTGAAAGGGCAGGACCAACTCTTGGCAAAAATGGGAATGAGATCAATTGAAGTGTCCTTCAGACCTTTACATATCATGATATGGCTGTGGCCTGAAGACTTATAATTAGGATTTATTATCGAATCTTTCCTTATGGCAGGAGATGAGAGGCAGGTACCCTATGTCTCTTCCTGACATCCTCCCCCAATTTCCCCTTCTGGTATCTTCTACCTACATCTCTCCCCTCTGACATCCTACTATCTCCTAGTAGTAAAGGGCTACTCAGACCTGCAGGCACTCCTTGGGAAGTGCTTTAATTTTTTTCTTCCAAGTCAATATTTGCTGGTGTTTGCTTTGTGAACCACCTGGATTAGAATCAGGAATATGTTTAAAATGCAGGTTCCTGAATCCCACCTCAGACCTAATTCAGAATCCCTGGGACTGAGAACAAGGAATCTACATTTTCTGTACAAGCTACTAGATGATTTTTACGCAAATTGAAACTGTAGACACCACCCCCTACCCTTCTCTCATGGCCTCATGAGAGATGAACACCAGAAGGACAGGGCTGAGCTTATGTCTATTATTATGTCTATTAACACTTACTGTGTTGTTCATCTCAGGGATGATCTAACATTCTAACTGAAGACAATCTCTAAAAACCCATTCTCAATGGGGAAATTTCAGACACCAGAGAAGAATGATTACTGAAATATTCCTCCTTCCTTTCTTCTCCTTTCCTTAATTTTTACTTGATGATAGCTTTGTCTTCTGCCCCTACTTGATGACAGCTTTCTCTTCTGCCCTCCTTCAATCATGGATCCTTCTATAAATTCATGTATCAGTCAGAAAACTCTATAGACAGCTTTAGAGTTATATGTGGTTTAATAACTTCTACTTAACTAACTCAGTTCTGGGGAAATCACATTGTAATCAGACATGAAAACAAAATTTCACATTCCCAAGGGAACCATCTAAGTATTATGGAGAAAAGAAACAAACAAAAAAGATTTCATTGTTAAGTAAGTTTGAGGTATAACCAAATTAAAATTGAGCTGTTTCTTTACTACAGACCTTCTCAGAGCCTTTTCTATGCTATCGTACATTTTGAACTTGGAGTTTATATATGCATTATGTCCCAGCTCTTCTTAAAGAGCTTGTGAAGTTGTATTACTCTGTGGATCACACTTTGGGAAATAATGTTCTAGATTTTAGCAGATTGCCTGTCCATCAGTTACACTCATGCTGTAACATGTTTTGCATTTTCTACATTTCCACATTTTCTTCAAATTCTTTGGCTGAATTAGATTTCAGGTCATCACTATGGCTGCTTAGTTCATCTTGGGGATTGATTTAAAATTTTAGCAAAATCACCCAAAGTAGGTCTTTATTTTCTGTTATTTCAATAAACTTTAGATTTCAGATCCGCATTTCACACTTCATTAAATTTACTTTTAAGCATACTATGCAATGTTTCACAAGTGGATTTTACTTCTCTTCCTTTTGGCTGAAAGAATTTTATCTTAAATTGAGTATCAGTGTTCCTGTTCTCAGGGTTCATTTAAAAACTATGTTCATTTCAGACTCATATTTCTGTATCTCTTTTATCCCACCTACTATTTTGGTATTTGGGGGGAAAGGCTTTTTGATACAACATTTGCATGTGTCTCAAATAAACATTTAAATGCTTTCAGTATAAAGCTCTAAATGACTGCTTTTTAAGGAACTCAGATGTTATTTTCACAAATACTTCACATCTATTTCCTCCTTTTAAAAATGCCTTCTCTTATTTTCCCAGAAGGGATTGGACCTTCTTTATTGATAATTTCTTGAATTTCCTTAAATCTTGAAAGAGTTGAACCATAAAGTGCCAGTGGGATAACAATGCATATTTCATCATAAAGACCTAATGAAGAATCAATAAGGCACCTGAAGTTTTAGAGGTTGAAGTTGGAATCATTCCATTCAAATTCATTTTAGAAAAATACCTTGTTGTTTATATAAAATAGGATTATAGTTAATGTTGTAATGGACTTTGTTTTCAGCATCTGCAGAAGTGGGTTGTGATGCTGTCTGGGAGAAGGATCTCAATTCACACATTTGCTACCAATTCAACCTGCTTTCCTCTCTTTCCTGGAGTGAGGCACATTCTTCATGCCAGATGCAAGGAGGAGCTTTACTAAGTATTGCAGATGAGAACGAAGAAAACTTCATAAGGAGTAAGTAGGGGGATGATGCACACTGATATTAATGCAATTAAAATGATTTGTTAACAGTTATGTCCAGGTATGCAAAAATATATTCTGAATAAATAAAAAGTCCCTTAAAAATATTTTTTCTTTTATTAATATGGTGCCGACTCACACCCAGAATTGTGACCTGTTTGCTGGGACATTCCATTTGCACCTGGGCATATATTCTTTATTTTCTCTCCCTTGGAGAAGAGGAATTGAGGCCCCAGCAAGGGACCCCGGAGAATTTGCAGCTCTAAAAGTGGATCTGGGAGACTTCTAAACTTACGTACAGATTCCTGCTCTGCTGGAGATCTTAGCTATTCAGCTTCTATTAATGAATAAGTCCTTTATTAATTTTTTCAATTTTTTTAATGTTTTATTTATTTTTGAGACAGAGAGAGGCATAGCATGAGCAGGGGAGGGGCAGAGAGAGAGGGTAACATAGAATCCAAAGCAGGCTCCAGGCTCTGAGCTGTTAGCACAGAGCCTGACGCAGGGCTCGAACCCACGGACTGTGAGATCATGACCTGAGCTGAAGTCAGACACTCAACCGACTGAGCCACCCAAGCGCCCCTAAGTCCTTTATTAATTAAACAAAATCTCACCTGTCAGTCAGTATGCACAGGTACATAGGTCTTCTCTTACATGACAAAGAACTTAAATTTAGTTGGAAAAGCAAAAGCACACACATATTAACTAACAGTATAAGACAATAATATGTCAAAGAGTTATGCTAAAAGGCTGGATCTTGGGTTTTACCTATCACCTAAACTCTCCTCTTACTTCTCCTTTATTATGGTTAAATATGTTTGTAGATGTATACACACAGCTTTTAAAAAAATTTTAGAAACATTTGAAAATATCACAAAATTAGTCACTCATAAGTTTCTGATGCTTTTTTTCAAATTTTATTGCACATGTAGTACATGTTTATTCTAGAATAACTTTTTTTTTTTTTTTTGAGAGAGAGAGAGAGAAAGCATGAGTGGGGCAGAGGGAAAGAGAATCCCAAGCAGGCTTCATATTTAGCGTGGAGTCATGACCCTGGGATCATGACCTGAGCTGAAATCAAGACTGAATGCTTAACTGACTGAGCTACCCAGGCACCCCTAGAATATTTTTCAAATTTCAAATATAAAGATAGAAAAGTATCCCATAATTCCATAATCCAGGAGCAATCATGTTTTTCTAAAAAAAAAAACAAAACAAAACAAAACCCAAAACATGTAAAGGCATGCATGCATATACAGTGTCTATGGAAAATAGTACTGAATAAATACAGGAGGCTGTTATTTCATGGTGGTTAGGAGCAGGAACCAGAGAACCATATGCTTGAGTTTGACTCCTGCCTCTACCACTTACTAGCAGAGCTCCTCCTCCAAGTGACCTAACCTCTCTGTACCTCAAATCCCCCCCCCATCAAATGGAAATAATAGCCATGCTACTTGTTAGCAGTACAGATTACATGTTATGATGCAGATGAAGTCTTAGAAAATAACAAACACTCAATGTGTGTTAACCATTTAACACCTATGCACACGGTTTGATAATATGCTTGTTTCATGCACCAGCATATAATGAACATCTGCCCATCTCTATAAATATAGGTCTGTATCATGGTTTTTAATGGTTACCTAGTATTATAGGTTACCAAGAATATATTTATCTAACCCCCTACTATTAGATAGTGATAGATAGGTAAAATTATTTATTTTGTTTTTATTTATTTGTTGCTCTTATAAACCATCCCTGCACTTACCTTTGGGCATAGATCCCCAATTATTTCTCTACAAGTTTGTGGAAGTGGATTCACTGGGTGGAAGAGGAAGCTTTTGAAAGTCATCAATACCTTCCAGAAGGAACGTAACAAATGTGTGAACAGGGCAGATTTGCCCCTTTTGCCCACAGACAGGCAAAAGTGGGAAATTATGATCAAAACTGATTTCAGTGAGTCACATTGCAGGGAAAACACCAGTTTCTAATATCATTATTAGCCTGTAATGGTTTTTACAGAAAAATTTTGCATACCATTTATGAATTATACTTGTTACCTATCTTGACTGTCAGAATTTCTAATAAGAAGGTTTGGACTTACTCATCAAACATGAATAATGATTAAAGAAGTAAGATATGTCAGAGACTTTGATTTAAATACCACAATTCCATAATTAGACTTCGGGGATTGTTTAGGAAAACAGAAGTCTATTCATAAAGACAGAACCCTGTTCTGACCATGGTATTTTTTTAATGATGAGAATAGTCTAGTTTTTTGCTAATTGCTGGTGAACATTAATAGTTATAAGGAATTATCTAAGCTGACACAAATGCCAAGAAATATCCAAAAGAATTTAGGTTTGAGTTCATTATTACAGAACTGTGAGCCGATGTAGTCATAAAGCTAAATAAATAGCTTTTGTAACCTTAAACACACATTATAAATTACCCAATGATTTTTGTGCGTATTGTTAAAACAACTGCATAGAGGGTATTTGAAATACCTCTAAGATAAGAATAATTAATATTTTAATATTTTAATTAGGTTATTTGAAAATACTGCTTGGCATTTGCCCTGATATGAAATGGGAAAATTTCTCTACCTTGTCAATCCATCTTCCATGCCGCCTCCTGTCATCACAATACCCACTATTTAATCCGATAGTGTTACTGAAAGGACTAATCAAAATGACGTTAGAAAGAGACTCTGTGTAAATGCCGCAGGAGTTTGGAAAGGTGGGACCAGTGTTTCTGTTTAGGGGTTTCTGGGGTCTCAGAATTACAACCCCATTTTTTCTCTTTCCTAAGTGGGTTAAGTTCTTCCAGTTTTCCACCATGTAACTGAAATGTTCAATCACAGAGGATGCTGCTGACTTATTTATTATGTGAATACACTGGTGTTTATACTTGGGGTGCTCATACAATTGATCATTCAAACTGAGACTCTTTTTAGAATAAAAGGGGATGCGATTAGTAATTATTCTGAAACTACCAGCATAAACCATGAGTTTTCCTGACACAAGTCTTACCTGCCAGGGCCTCAGTCTCAGTCCCCTGCATCTGGTTCAAATCTATTGGGTTCCGATACAGATGAACCATAAGACAAAGAGAAAAGTGCTCCCTTTTATATATTAAAAGATTAAGTGGCAACATTTGAGAGTGTCACAAAATTAGTCACTTTCACTGAGTCTCTGTCTCTTCTATTTTTTTTACCTCCATGATCTGATGAGAAATCAACTTTTACTAAGTTTCTGAGACTTGTTTAAAATGTATCCTATAATAAATTTTGTTGGATTTTAAAGGAAGTTCTTTTATTTTTTAAAGAAAAATAACTGAAATATAATCATAAACTATAATATACACTGTGTAGATCATTTTGAAATTATTGTGGCTTTCCTTTTGGCATTGTACATGATCGGTTTGGTGAATCCATCCTCTTTTTGGGGAGCCATAATCCCCAAATTCAGAAATATTATTAATATTTTAATTTAGTAGGTTGCATTTTACTCTCAATGTCAATAAAATCTCTAATTATTTTAAATACTTTAAAAGCATCATTTAAACAACTATATAATATTTTTATGCAATCAAAAATATCCATCCCTTAATTTCCATTACATACTTCTCCCTGGTTCGCCTTCTACATTTTGGGCTGGCTTTTATTTCTTTTTATTTCTTTTATTTTCTTTTATTCTAGAATAATTTTTTTAATTCAGGTAACAAAAGAAAAACCAAAGAAAACTTTCCCCTAATTCTCTAATTTTGAACCATGTTTTTCAGCACAGGCATACCAATATACATGTTTATACATAGCATCTCTAACAAAAATGGGGTTAAATTAAAATGTGAGGAGCTATGGCACAGCAGTTGGAAGCAGGGGCCACAGAGGCAGCCTGACAGAAAGCCTTCTCCCAATCCCAGCTGAAGATGCAACATTGTATGGCTCCAGCCTGCCTGGATACTTTGGTCCCTTGGATTATGCTTCTCCTCTTGGTCACACAACTCCTACTGGCTCTCACACTGGACAGCTGTCCCGCCCCCACCCCCATTGCTGCTTGCTTTGGCATACCTTCTTAAATTTGAGGACTCGTCTCCATTCACTAACGATAATTATGTTTTCTCTTCCTTGCTAGATCCTGATAAAAAAAAAGTTCTTTACATTGTTTAATTTTTTAACTGTGAAATACTTCAAAAATATTGAAAAATACAGAAAATTTTATGTGCACACACATATACCCATTATACAGATTTAACATCACTTCTTCCTATTCCCCTTACTTGGAGCCTATGGTAACCTCAGCAAACTGCAGTCCTGAGCCTCCAAGCCAAAGCTGCTACCAGGAACACATAGCAAAAGAGGACAGACAAAGGGGTGCTTTCTGGAGTGGACTTCCTGGACACTTCCTCCTCCCCCATCCAAAACCCTTAATTGCATGAGTTCATGCAAATCAGATGGTCTCAGATGTGCAACCATGCACTCTTGGGTGGATTGATGATCCTTTAAAGGCAGAACTTCTGGATGCTTAGATTACGCCCTTCACAGCTCAAGAACTGCTGTTAGTGAGCCTTTATAAGAATGCGGTGTTTCTCAAGATGCCAGAGCCTGACTTTGTTACTCTGAAGCATCAGAGTGGGGTTTAGTAGCACTTAAAACCCTTCTCTGTCATTGACTGCAATTCATTTATGACTACATCCTTCAGGAATGAGAAAACAGAAAGAATTGTATCATTGTGGGGAGGGGGGTGTTTGTTTCCTCGTGTTCAAACTCTTATTTTTCTCTTCATTTTAGAGCACTTGGGCAGTGAAGCGGTGGAAATGTGGATAGGTCTGAATCAACTGGATGAAAATGCTGGCTGGCAGTGGTCTGATAGAACGCCGCTCAACTATCTGAACTGGAACCCGGGTACCTGCAGTGTTTTATGTGCCTTTGATGGGTAGAATTATCCCACAGCCTTACACAGAAGCTATATCCCACACATATAGAAGTCATGTTATTTTAAAAGTGGTTTATAAACATTTTTAAGCTTGCCTGAATTCCTATAAGGCAAGCTTTTCCAGACAACAAAATGGAGGTCAAGAAGGTAAGCTGTTTCTCCAAGGTTGCAGGAGGGTTGGTTTAGAGCCAAGACTAGTCAGCTGTTTTAAAAAATAGCAACAAACTGCAAATATTTCTTTAAAACAAAATCAGGTATTGCTATCTTTGAAAAATCATTTCATTGTCATGTCTGGACTTCAACTGCAAAATCATAGATATAATATAGCATCTTCTAGGATTTGTCACACATGCCAGAGAAGAGCTATCTCCTTGATGCTAAAACACCACACTTACATATGTCAAATATATCATACTTGAATAAATAAAATGACATCAGTATATTTTAAACTAACCACTTTTGCCTCTAACATTAAACACACATACACTGTATTTTCAGAAATAAGTTTTGAGCCATTTGTTGAGTATCATTGTGGAACATTGAATTCATTGATGCCAAATGCCTGGCAGAGTCGGGATTGTGGGTCCACCTTGCCTTATATATGTAAAAAGTATCTAAACCACAGTGATCAAGAAGTGACTGGTAAGTGATTTTACTTTAAGTTGGCTTTATGAGTTGCTTACTTGTCATCTCAATGTATTCAAATTCATTTACATTTTTGCTAGTAATTCACAATTTAAGCAGCTAGGGCTGGGTTTTATAGTTACATGAATAAAAATATGTAAGCAGATAGTATCTGTTATTCCAAAGGCACCACGAGTTTAACAAATGCATTTAGGTTTTTACTAAAAACCAAAGCAAAGGACCTAAGCATAGAAGACAATTTCTGCTGCTTTTTCTTTAATTTCTTCTAATTTCTTTAATTGAGTTGTTCTGCATTAGAAAAACAAGATATGCTTCCTTTTCTAGTCTAGTTTTGAGTTTTAATGATGGTTACCTTAGAAATTAAATATAAATTAGAACACAGTTTTATAAAATTCTTTACTTCACTGATCTCCTACCATACTCTGAGTCTCTTATAACCATCCTACTCAAAATAACATACAAACTTTTATGTGCAACTAAGACTTAAATACTACCTAATTACAATCTAATACCTAAAGCCCAATTATTTGTTTTTAAGGTCTCCTGGCTCTTTTTAGTTTCTGTGGGAGTTAATGTCTTAATTCAGAAAGTAGACATAAAAACATAACCATATTTAGAAGAATCATGACCAGCATAATTAGGAACTCCAGATTTAAAATAAAGAGACTTATCATTTTTATTTATTTATAAATTTTTTTAATGTTTATTTATTTTTGCAGAGAGAGGGAGAGAGAGACAGAGGATGAGTGGGGGAGGGGCAGAGAGAGAGGGAGACACAGAATCTGAAACAGGCTTCAGGCTCTGAGTTGGAAGCACAGAGCCCGACGCGGGGCTCAAACTCGCTGAGAGCGAGATCGTGACCTGAGCCGATGTCGGACGCTCAACCAACTGAGCCACCCAGGCGCCCCTAGAATTATCATTTTTAAATATTATTCCTTACAATCAGACGTTAACTTTCATTTTCCTTTAAGTGGCTAACCCTAAGTGAATGGTGGAATCATGGTGGGGGGGTGGGGGGGAGAAGCATTGTGCCATTTTTTTTTTTCAACGTTTATTTATTTTTGGGACAGAGAGAGACAGAGCATGAACGGGGGAGGGGCAGAGAGAGAAGGAGACACAGAATCGGAAACAGGCTCCAGGCTCCGAGCTATCAGCCCAGAGCCCGACGCGGGGCTCGAACTCCCGGACCGCGAGATCGTGACCTGGCTGAAGTCGGACGCTTAACCGACTGCGCCCCCCAGGCGCCCCCCATTTTTTTATGTAGAGTTTTCATTATGTCAAGAACATGCTGAAATTGCTATCGCTATTTATGTCCTTCCCTTCCGTCTCTTCCTCTCTTACTCGGTTCTTTCTTATGCCCTCCTGCCATCCTTCTTTTCTTCTCTTTTATTTACTCTAAGGTTCTACTAATTGCAGCCCAAAGACCACAAATGAGGGTAATTAAGCTAAATTAGTTTGGATTCTTTGCCGTTGCTTCAGGTTTAACAAATTCTTTCAATGACTTAGTCCAGTGTCTTCAAACTGTTTCTGGGATCTGAAGGTTCTTTGCTTGGCTCCACCCTGCTTCAATCAGAGAAATTTCTCTTTTATCTTTTTATCTTACCCATAGAGCAAAGTTTATGGTTTTAATTTCAAAAGGGGTTCTATGACCCCTTGGCTGAAAACCACTGAGGTAGATGATATCTAAATATTTAGATATCATTTGCGCTTAGCATCCCAGAGCAATTTTAAAACAATGTCTCATTTCCCAAATAGCAGTGGAGCTATAGCTAACTAAATTAGTGCTTAAGGGAGGCACTCAGCTGTAGTTAATAAAATAAAGTAAAAATGCTAATTACCAGGTTGGGGACAAGCTTCTGGAAAGGGAGAGCCAAAAGTTCACATGCATACCACTGCCTTCCCTATTGGTGCCAAAGCATCCTGGAACTGTTCTGTAAGTCTAACCCAGGGTCCATATGAACCCAGAAGGACAACGCAGACACTCAGACATACCCTAAAGGTGAAAGCTATTTGTCAACTCTGCTTTGGAGGAAGTAACCAGAATTTCAGGCTTTTTTTCAGCTGAGGATAAAGATCTACATATTGTACATAAAATCTTCGGAATACCATTTATATTGTGTGTCATAATACTCATTTTTGGTGTAAATAAATTTTCTAAATGCAGAACTCTGACTGCTAAATTTTACATCTAGCCCTGACGGTTCACTTTGGCTTATGACCTTCACCAAGTCTCCTTACCTCTTTGTACCTTAGCTCATCTGTAAAATAAAGCACTGAGATCCGTTCAGTCTAGATCTAGATCCTATAGTGAATCCTTCTCAACTCTGAAGATGTAGATGATTTATATGTTATTGTTTCATATGTCTCTATTTTTCAAATTTTTAAAATAATCATATATTGATGGCAATTTCTATTAAGGCTAACAAGTAACATGTTAAAAATTGTGGAAAATGACATTGTTTTTCATTGTTTTAAAAAGAAAAAGATGCTTGGAAATATTACACTACCTACTGTGAGCCTGGCTGGAATCCCCATAATCGTAACTGCTATAAACTTCAGAAAGAAAAAAAGACCTGGAAGGAAGCTTTGCATTCTTGCCAGTCTGACAACAGCACATTAATAAACATTGCTTCATTAGCACAGGTGGAGTTTCTTATAACCCTCCTTGGAGATGGTAAGTGCCACATGTCTTTGAACTAAGAGGTATGAAATATAATGTAGTCACTATCTTTATTAGTGGAGTTGAAAAGAAGCTATGTAAAAGTGATGATTTATGGTATATATATCTGAAGTTTCAAAAACATTAAAAAGAAAACCATGAAACTTAAACCTGTAATTTAGCTTTATGGCCACTAGATAGCAGTTATGTGCTATGGTCATGTGATCTAAGTAGTAATGGAATTCTTTAGATAAATAATTGGATTTTAATAACTGTAGCCAGTGAAAGGTTTGGTGGTTTTCAAGCTGTGTGCCATGGTTCAGGAATTCTGAGCTCCTGGGCCTGCACCCACCTTCCGTGCATCAGAGCAGGCCTCCCCCTGTGTCTTGTATTTGACATGGAATTCTTCTGAAAAACATTGAAATCACTGAGTTAAATTTTTTTTTAACGAAAAAAAAAATCTCCAGAGTCTACACTGGTGACTTTTTGGAAGTTAGGTTTTAGTTTCGAGTAAAAACAAAAATCCTCTCTGTCACTTTTTCTCACCTTCTGCATTTGAGATTAAAAGAATCCTGTGGCTGCCTCTGTCTCAATAGGGGCACTTGAACGTTTCTCTCAGCCTCCTAGGGTCTTTTCACCTTACCTGGGCTGTCAAACTTTATTTACTTTTCTGGCAACCCCATTGCTCCCATTTTAATGCTTCTAAGAGTTTCTGCTCCTCTTTTTCCCATGGCAAAGAAAAAGAGAGAGAGAGAGAGAGAGAGAAAAGTCAAGAAAAAATATATTGTAAAGATTTTTCTTTTAAAGGTCCTTTTCCTAATCCAATTGACCTTCCTATTTTTCCTTTATCTAGGCAAAAGCAAAACCATACTGATCAAATATACTTTTCATACAGTAGCAGGAACTAATTAGAGTCCCAGCAATCTGACTTGCTTTTAAGCTTTGTCCTTGCATTGGCTTTAGCTCATACTCTGCCCCACTTACAAGGTCTGAGTCAAGCAGATGGGATAGTATAGGGGGAACAGGTTTAAGTAGATATTTTATACTGAGACTTAAAAGGTTTTATCACATGAAAAAATAAAGAAGAAATCATTTATAACAGGCCTGGTGCATTATCTCCTTTGCATTAATAGGATTCCTGTAGTTTACATTTCTCTCTTACAGAAAATGCATCAGAAACATGGATTGGTTTGAGCAGCAATAAAATTCCAGTTTCCTTTGAATGGTCCAATGGCTCTTCAGTCACCTTTACTAATTGGCACACACTTGAGCCCCAAATTCTTCCAAATAGAAGCCAACTATGTGTCTCAGCAGAGCAATCTGTAAGTTGATTTGTTTAGTGCTCACTTTGCTGGATTTGTATTGAGGGCCACCTGCATCAGGGACTTGGGCTGTGGCAGAGACCAAGGCACAGTCACTACTCCTCCTGGGGCTTCTACGCTAGGCAGTAAACATGCACACACAGGAGAAACATGGTAATTATAGTTGCGATCATAGCTTTGAGGAGATAGGTGATGTGATGGTGAACAACCTGAGTTGGGGCTGCTACTTCATACAGAATGGTCAGGGGAAGCTCTCCAAAGAGGTGATGTTTAAGCTAGAACTTAAAAAAAAAAAAAAAAAAAAACAAAAAAAACAAAAAAAACCTCTGGAGGAGCAAGGGAAGAACATTCCAGCCCGGGGACAGCTGCTAGTGTAAAAGCTCAAAGGCCCGCCAAGGCTTGCCATGTTTAATAATCAAAAAGGAGACCAGTGTGGCTTGAGGGGATCCTAGGAGAGGGGGCAGGAAGAATGCAAAAATGTCAAGCTTATAGTCCTGGTATAGAATGACAAAAGGACTTCAAGGAGATGAAGGGCATTGTTTTACATTTTATTTTATTTTATTGTGGCTCAAACACACAAACCATGACCTGAGCCAAAGTCAGAAGCTCAACCAACTGAGCCACCCAGGTGCCCCTTGATTTACATTTTAAAAAATAACTGTGGCTGCTACATAGAGAGTAGCTTAGAGAAAGACAGAAAATGGGAGCAGAGAAACCAGTTTGGGGGCTACTTCAGTGTTGAATTGGGGTAGTGAATATAGAGACAAGGAGAGAAATTCAAAGATCCCTTGGAGGATAGGAATTGTTGCTAGTAGATGTGGGGTGAGAGAGGAATAGGTTTTTGGCTTGAGCAACCACCATGTTTGTGGATGATGGTGCCACTGACCACCATGGTGAAGATGTAAGGGGAAGATCTGAGGTGTCAGGAAATTACTCTAGAGACTGATGATTTTTAAGCTCCATTATCCTATTAACATAAAAGGATTTCTACAATGTGCGTAATCTCATTGAAAACTGTGAATCAATGGAAAATCTTGCTCTTTTCCTCACAAGAATGTAATGGTCCCGGTGGCCTTAACATCACACTTATTTCTATGCCCTAATCTCTCATTTATCTAAAACATCTGATTTAATCCGAAGTCATTTGAAGGGTTTATTATATGTTTAAAGTAGACTTAATCTCTTTGATCAGATAGTTACTAAACTCACTGGCTGAGTTTTAAGTCATTAGGATTTGGTAGGCATTCTCACTCTTTCTTACCACCAGGAGGACACCATGTCAAGTGCAGTTAATTAAATGTTACTTAAGTAGCTGGACAAAGTAATGGCACCAACCAAACATAGAAAATTTCTAAGCACTTACTTTGATGGCACATTTCATTGTTTCCTCTTTTAGGTTGTTATAGATATGCCCAGTTACAGTTAAAATGCCAAGGTAGTTCTCAAGTCACATTTGAAAAGGAACAAACAATGACCTCTCTAAATGTTTATCTTGCGTCTAACTCTGCTGAAAGCCATCACTGTTTATTCTACAATATTTGACGCTTTATTGGTTCATTGGTTTTGAGATAATTAAGATGACCTTCATTTCCTACTGACATTCTCCTTTTACATTTGACAGACATTGGTTATTTACTTAGCAAGTTCACAGAACAGGAGCCAACATTTGAACATAAATTATTTTTAAGAGAGTAAGAACAGGTATTAATACTATAGGATGTGTCAGGACAATGCTGCTGTAAGTGTGATACTTTGGGTCCTCCTTTCTGGCAGCTTAGTGGCTCCTTAAATAGTAAATGCATAAAAAGTAACATTCATTCCCATGAAGTAGAACTCAACATGAATATGATTATTGTAATTAACAAGTTACCTAAGCATGGTTGATGCCTCATTTGAATGTGAGAGCCTAGGAAACTTTCTCCATTCATCCATCCATCCAATTGTTATTAAGCAAATACAGTAGGCCTAACAGTATCCTTTAACTGGATGGCTTGCTAGAAGACTCCATGATGGTGGGCTATAGGGCTGCTCTGTAAGATGAAGGTGTCAGCCTCCTACCCAGTATGTATATTCCCCTAAAAACCTGAATGCCTGAGATACCACCTAAAATTTGAATTGTGTGGTTTTAGCTTAAAGGTCTGATTTGTGTTAACAAATCCTTTGGGAGGATAAAATTTTAATCTGTTAGCAGTTATTGTATTTCATTATTAATGTAGGTTGTTAGAGCAGCTATCTGCAGAACTAGAAGACGTGAAAGTATCCACCTGTCATATAAAGAAGAAATGGGGTGGGGCTTTGGAAACTTAGTGATAAAGAAGGACATTATGGCTTGAGCACAAAGTTTATCTATGATAATGTTATCTAGGGTGATTCATGGTAGCTTCCAGGCATTTCCCCAGCATTAGGTTTATATATGTAAGTAGCAAACATTCCACTTAATATTTAGAAGTGGTTGAAGAAAGGAAGCAGCAGTCTCACTGGTCATGAGGATAGTTTCCAAAGTGTGGTCCCCAGACCAGCAGCATCAATCAATTGAAACCTTGTCAGAAATGCAAATTCTTGTGTCCTACCTGACCTGTGAAATGAGACACACTGATCATGAGGCCCCATCATCTGCACTTTAGTAATCCTTTCAAATAATTCTGGTGCACAGTAAAGATTGAGAATCCCTGCTCTAACCCATCTTTTTAAAAGAAAAATTGAGAGCAGCTTAATGTAAATCTAGGCTGAGCCTGGTATTAAATCCTAGTTTCCAGTTTTACTGACTATAAAACTTTGCGCAAAGTATTAAACCTAACCTTTAAAATAGGAATGATAATGCCTACCTCACAGAAATGTTGAAATTATACATGAAAATCACACAATATTAAGCCTGGCACACTATCAAGAAACATTAATGGCCCCTCCCTCCTATCCACCACTCTGGGATTGCGCATCTTGTAATTGTTCACATGCTGGAGAGAGCAGGGCCTCCCACTCTCATGTAGAGAGAGTATCAACTCTTCTAATGACAACACATGGTCCTGACTCATTACCCCATACTGAAACACTTATTATTAATCATATTTTTTATTTAAATAACTGAAACAATCCAGTGAAGAAATGGGTAGAAGACATGAATAGACACTTCTCTAAAGAAGACATCCAGATGTCCAACAGACACATGAAAAGATGCTCAACATTACTCCTTGTCAGGGAAATACAAATCAAAACCACACTGAGATACCACCTCATGCCAGTCAGAGTGACTAAAATGAATAAATCAGGAGAGTCTAGATGCTGGTAAGGATGTGGAGAAATGGGAACCCTCTTGCACTGTTGGTGGGAGTGCAAACTGGTGCAGCCGCTCTGGAAAACAGTGTGGAGGTTCCTCAAAAAATTAGAAATAGATCTACCCTATGACCCAGCAATTGTGCTACTAGGCATTTACCCAAGGGATACAGGAGTGCTGATGCATAGGGGCACATGTACCCCAATGTTTATAGCAGCACTTTCAACAATAGCCAAATTATGGAAAGAGCCTAAATGTCCATCAACTGATGAATGGATAAAGAAGATGTGGTTTATATATACAATGGAATACTACTTGGCAATGAGAAAGAATGAAATCTGGCCATTTACAGCAACATGGATGGAACTGGAGGATATTATGCTAAATGAAATAAGTCAGGCAGAGAAAGACAGATACCATATGTTTTCACTCATATGTGGATACTGAGAAACTTAACAGAAGACCATGGGGGAGTGGAAGGGGGAAGAAAAAAGTTACAGAGAGGGAGGGAGGCAAACCATAAGAGACTCCTAAATATTGAGAACAAACTGAGGGTTGATGGGAAGTGGGGGAGAGGGGAAAGTGGGTGATGGGCATTGAGGAGGGCACTGATGTTGGGATGAGCACTGGATGTTGTATGGAAACAAATTTGACAATAAATTATATTTAAAAAAAAGAAAATAACTGATGTTGCCTATCAGCATCAATAATGAAGTTAATTCATCCATCTTGTAACATGTTTCCCCTTAGGAGGGGCACTGGAAAGTTAAAAATTGTGAAGAAACACTTTTTTACGTTTGTAAGAAAGCAGGCCATGTCCTTTCTGACACTGAATCAGGCTGTCAAAAGGTAAGTGCTGTTAACATTGCATTTAGGTGTATTGAATGCATAGCTAGAATAATTTATGCAACAGCAATTTAAATAATGTCTCCCTCTCATACCTACTTTTGCTCCCTCCTCCCTCTCTTTCCCCTCCCTCCCTATCACTTTTCTTTCTTTCCTTCCCTCCTTTTTTTTTTTTTTTTTTTTTTTTTGACTGTGGGCTACTTTTAACAAACCAAGCAGTTATCAGCTGGGAGCATATGAAGGGTTTACAGCCCTGCAAAGGATTGTTGTCTTGCCATCCTCTTCAACCTAAACTACTTTTCTTTTGAAATAAAAAATATAAAGGTCCTGTTATCCCATCTGTACAAACAATGACTGTCATGTGATGCCCCATCTCACAGGTGGTTTTCATAGTCTCCCAGTGAGGACTGTCAGAGTGAAAAAAAAAATGCATTCCTTTGATGGAGAGTGAACTTCTTCACTCAGACTCCTGACTTCCTTTCCCTTAATCTTTTTTTTTTTCGGTCTGACGTTTTTTTTTTTTTTTGTTTGTTTATTTTTGGGACAGAGAGAGACAGAGCATGAACGGGGGAGGGGCAGAGAGAGAGGGAGACACAGAATCAGAAACAGGCTCCAGGCTCTGAGCCATCAGCCCAGAGCCCGACGCGGGGCTCGAACTCACGGACCACGAGTTCGTGACCTGGCTGAAGTCGGACGCTTAACAGACTGCGCCACCCAGGCGCCCCTTTTTTCACTCATCTTAAACTTAAATATTTGAATAGAGTACAATAATGGTGAGAAGTGCATGTTTGCAATATATTTATTAGTTGGGAAAGAGATAATAAAAATACTTTAATATTTTAAGTAATAAATTATTTTTGGTACTTAACATAATTATTCTCAGTACTTAAAGTAATAAAAAATACATAACACTTCAGGTTTAAAATTAAAAGGTAGAAGGTTATGTCTTAAATTTCTTCAAATACATTCAGTATCCTTGAGTAAAGTTCTCAACACATTCATTCCCTGCCTCTCTCTCTCTCTCTCTCTCTCTCTCACACACACACACACACACACACACACACACACACACTAAACAATTAAATTTAAATATTGGATATTTGTATGCATCTCAAAAATTTCCCAAACCTGGATTTTTATGCAATTCTTAAATATTTTCTCTTCTAATCCAGGTATTTATGTTTCGATGAGGCAATGACCCATCTTTCCAAGAAACTGCATTTTATTCAGTAATCAGTGTAAACATATGAATTACTCTTCCTACTTTAGGTCAACAATACCTATGCCATAGCTGACATACTGCCAAAAATTTTATCTAATGATTACAGTTCCTGAAGTTAGAGCTGATCACTGATCTATAGCTGATCAGAAATATTGAAAAAAAATATTTGTCTTATTGTGGTTTTCAAAGCAACTCAACATGTTGTATTTGTGTTAAAAAGGAAATTAACTCCTTACACAGCAAAAACAGAACTGATGTTCTATTCAAACTTGTGTACACAGCTTCCCTTTTCTGGCCAGCGTTACTAGTATTTAGGTTCAGAGTAAAACTGGAGTTCAGGTCCCGTTCTCTAACTTTATGGTGAAACTCTCATTAAGTTCTTTATGAATCAATCTGTGAATGTGGTTTCAAAAGTTTCCTTTCCTTTAGCCCACTGCTTCACTGCACTTCTCTAAACAGTCTGGATGTGTAAAATCAACTTATAAAATATTTCTCACACCATGCACAAAAATAAATTTAAAATGGATTAATGAGCTACATATGAGACCTGAAATCATAAAAATAGTAGAAGAGAACAAAAGCAGTAATTTCTCTGACATCAGCAGTCGAAACATTTTTCTAGATATGTCTTTTAAGGCAAGGGAAACAAAATCAGAAATAAACTATTAAGACTACATCAAAATAAAAACCTTTTCCACAGTGAAAAAAAAAACATCGAAAAAACAAAAAAGCAACCTACTGAGTGGGAAAAGATATTTGGAAATGGTACATCCAATAAGGAGTTAATATCCAAGATATATAAAGAATGTATACAAGTAAACACCAAAAAAACCCAAAAAAAGGCTTCCAAATAATCTGATTAAAAATGGGCAGAGGCTCTTACTACGTGGCAATGAGAAAAAATGAAATATGGCCTTTTGTAGCAACGTGGATGGAACTGGAGAGTGTGATGCTGAGTGAAA